ACTGTAGTCCCCGTCCTTGCTCTCGGACATACGGTGACATCATCGCTTGCGATGGTCGAATCGACATCTGACACCGCATACGCCCGCAAGTGCGCAAACTGTGAACTGAGTGGCTCCAAGCAGTTCACATGCAGGTTATACGCGGCAACGCTGACAGTCGTTTGCCACCAACTCTACGGCTATTCTTGCTCTTCGTCTACACAATAACTTTGAAGAATATGCCTAACTTCGGATGATAGTATAAGCAAAATAAACAGACAGAAATGCGTGTTAAAACCCTCTCTCAAATTTTGATCCTCACATTTCATGAATATAAGTAACAAATGTAACCACATCTATTTGAACCAATAAGGGTAGACTTGAAATTTTTGCCTCTTTTGTCGTTATTTCCACCTTAATTCAAGGCACCGGTGTGAATTTTGATTTGTATTTTTTTCTGTTTTATTTAATTAAACCTACGACCTAATTCATATGTGTCTTATTGAGGTTTCAACAGAAAGTAAGTTAGCTGTAATGTGGACCATGTATTATGGGGTTCTGGCATACGGCATACATTTGCCTTTACTGAGGGCATTAAATTAAGAAGGACCGTCTGGGTTTTGCAATAGTGGTATGATGGTAACTGTCAGTTCTCCGAAATTATAAAGGAGATAATCTTTCCTACTTTTCCTACCTTTTTCTTAAGAGGGTCGTTAGTTTACCCTAAGGGTATCGCGTTAGCTTCAGGGCTAACCTTCACAAGCATTGCAAATATCGCTTTGACGCCAATCTACTCGACCCAGGTCGCAGAGATGATGTTCCTTTTCAAAAATAAAAAGATATTTTGTTCACTCCTCAGATTATAACTATTGTCAAAGTTGTTACGGAGATGGGTGCCAAACTGCACGGCCTAAGGCGAAGAGATAACGTGACAATAGGTGTCACAACAGGCAAAGCCAGCTGAGCCATATGTGCAGGGGCAACGAGTGTCAATATCTCTCGACCAAAGCTGACAAGACAACGAGCTCGTGGCGCAATGGTTAGAATATTCGACTCTGATCGCAGAGGTCACGGGTTCGAGGCTCGTTGGTGCACCATTTAAGGATCGATTATGGTTGGCTGAGTAACGTGAATGAGCGAGAAATGGCCATTCCCGTCCCCCGCGTCTTTGCCAGTAATACTAACTTCCTAGTCTACTAACCGCTGTGTGGTTGCTGTCAAGGCACAAGAAATGGGACCCAAGGCAACGCGGGACAAGTGAGTTTCGGGAACGTTCATTACCGAGCATCACCTGTTTTGCTATCTTTGTGCACTCGCACATCCCCACCTTTTGCTTATTGCGATCTGACACCGTACGGAGGTGCACATATGGTGAACTGGGTGGCTCCCCTCCGTTTAATTGAAGGTAATGCGCGTAAACACTGACAGGTGATTACGCCCGCTCAACGACTGTTCTTGGCCTCAGTTACGCTCTTCGTTTACATTTTCACCCTTCGGTTGCACACTGGCTTTGCCAGGTTCGCTAAAATTCGGATAGCTGCATCTGATTGACGCAATCAGGTGTGTCTTGACATTTGTGACTCTCGAATGAATGAAAACGTTCGCGTTCCAGGTATTTGCATGAATGAGGAAGAAGAGTTGTTAAACACCGCCTACGCCTGAAGGTGCGTAAATTGTGAACTGGGTGGTACCCAGCGGTTTACTTTTAATTCATGTGGGTGAATGCTGTCAGCTGTTAGAGCCCACTGTGCGTCAGAACTTCGCCTCCACTAAGCACAATGTACATTTCCGTCCTTTGGTTGCACAATAACTTCACAAAGTACGGTGGAATTCGGCCGGCAGTTTGAGCACGCGGCTCATGCAAGTCAAAAACCGCCTGGAGGTAGGCGAGCAAGCTGGCGTCCTTTATCAAGTGCTATGTGGCGACTTTTCTCGTCATTATAGAGGCCAGACCGGACGACGACATAACTGGCGAATAGCGGAGCTTAAACCGACAGTGCAGGGGGGGCGACTCACTGTCCCAGATCGCTAACCACCTGAATTCCAGTAAGCTGGCCTATGTGGCAAAAATGAAACGCTATTGTTTATGAGTAATAGGTGAATGCCTTTATGCGTATGTCTTCAGTAAACGCAGAACCCAATCATCTCTTGTCTTTATTTATGATGGGAACTCAATAAGACCATCTTAATGGCATTTCGCACATTTGCCGCCTGGAATTCCAGCAGTTCCTCATCCGGAAGGCAGGACTTCCTTCATCCGACTACTAACGGAATTCATCTGTCCTGCTCTGTCTTGGGTCTCGACAGAGGACCTGACAGCTGTAATAGCTGATAGTGTAGACAGATAGTATTACCGGCAAGGACAATATCAATATCAAGATCACTGGGGTCA